AGCTGCTTGCTGAATGGCAGATCCTGATCCATGCCAAGTTGTCTGGGCACACGGGGGTGGTGGCTGGGGCAGGAGCAGGGTTAGGGGCCAAGATGGAGCTGGAAAAGAAGCTGGGTGGAAGTCAGAGTAGTGAGGTAGGCTCTGGGAGTACTGCCCTTTGGACTAAGGTCAAAGGTGGTAAAGACGTGCCCTGGGATAAAGGAAAGAGCCTCAAGTCCTCATCACCAGCTCTTAGCTCGTGACCTTATAGCTAGGAAGGTCATGATTTCCCACCCTGTTCTGCCATTATCCAGTGGCATTATCAGGCTCAGCTCCAGGGACATTGTACCCAAGACTCATGGATACCCTAGTGTCTTGCCTGGCCTAGGATTGACTATACCAACTGTCTGACAATGGTGTTGGCTGCTTCCCTGACCCCACGGTCCTGTTGCCTGCTTCAGGCCGGCATGGCAGGAAGACAGCAGAAGCTGGGCCTCCCTAGGTTTCAAAACCCATTGCCATGGCAACAAGGATCCAGACCTGTGTGGCTCTAGAGATGGGGGAAGCTGGGGCTGGGATGCCTCTGACCTGGCCTGCCAAAGCTGAGGACTGGGCTTCAGCCCAACGGGCTGCCCAAGCTAATCCCACTGCTGGGCCACACATCCCTCAGGGTGTCCTGTTTCTGCACCCACACAGCAGCCAGCCTCTGAAGGAAGATGGTCACAGGGCTGTCCTCATTTAGAGCTAACCTAGGGGGTGAAGCCGCAGCAGGCCAAGCCCCACTCTCACCCTGCAGGGCCCAGAGGACTTGAGAACTGCTTGGCCCTGTTGCCCTGGAAATTGGGGAGGGGACCAGGACTTTTGGTAGATTTGCTTTGTACCCTGGTGTGTGACAGGCAGGGGGAGGGGACCTGGTGATGCTCAGAGCTTGGTCCTGCCTCTCTTCAGCTCCCTGGCACAGACAGGGCCTTGAAAATGAAGCCACTCCCCTCAAAACCTTAAGGAGGGATCACGAGGGGCCAACACCACACAGTGCTCATAGGCTTTGCCAGGCAGGTCCCTGGGTACCACCCTGCCCTCGTGCAGCCCACAACCCTGCCCCGGGGGGCTCTGAGGCTGTTCGCTGCTCTTCTTGATTTCACATGGTGACTCAGATCAACATGTTCGCAGGGCTGAGTAACCACCTGAGTTATTTATACCCAGGCTAAGCAGGCTTCCTTCCCTCCTCCCAGAGCCGGGCTGGCCGGAGGATGGGTGGGGGTGGGGAGGAACCTGGAAGGGGGCAGGGGACTGGAAGGAGGCAGCTGAGGCACCCCCACATCCCCTCCCCTGAGGCGCCACCCCCATAAAATACCCAAAAATAGCCATGACTGTCCCAGCACAACAGGATGGGCCGGACCTATGGCATGGATGCATAGGGGTGACAAGGGTTTGGGGAGGGGGGAATTCCTCTCCTGAGCGAGTCACCCGTCTGGAAAAATAAAGAAGGAAAAAGCTGAAAATTTTTTCCTTCCATCAAAACAGGAAGGGGCTGGGGAGGTTGGGGGGGTGGGTGGCGGGAGGTGAAGGGGAGAAGAGTATGGAGGTTGAGGTGTTGGTTCTCCACCCTGAGGTGGTCTTCCGGGATTGGAAGCCCTTCTGTGCCTGCACGCAGGATCCCACCAGCCGGCCTGGCCTCTCTGGGCGTTTCCCATGGACCATACCTGGGTATTTCGGTCTCCCATCTTCCCAACATGTTCACTGATGCACAAAGACCTAAGTCCCACTCAGACCATGTCACACAGGCAGACTTGCCCTCGCAGCACACCCCAACCATATTCCACATGGGAAAAAAATCTCTCATCTAGAGAAGAAAGATTTGTCATTCTGGCAGGGCGTGGTGGTAATGGCCTGTAGTCTCAGCAATCAGGCAGTTGAGGCAGGGGGATCAAGAGTTTGAGGATAGATAGCCTTGGCTACCCAGCTAGGCGGTCACAAACCCCCTACCCCATTTTTTGTTTTTTTTTTTTGAGACAGAGTCACACTGGCTGGCCTGTTATCTGCTATTAGACTATGCTGGCCTTAGACTCGGATCTGCCCGCCTGTCTCCGAAGGGCTGGGATTAAGCACACGTATCACCATGTGCCCCTGGCTGTCCTGGAACTCACTTTGTAGACCAAACCAGCCTTGACTTCACATAGTTCATCTACCTGGCTCCTCCTCCTAAAGATTAAAGGTGTGTACCACTGTGCCCAGCAAGATTTTTTTACTTACTTGTTTGGTTTTTCTAGACAGGGTTGCTCTGTGTAGCCTTGGCTGTCCTGGAACTCACTCTGTAGAACAGGCTGGGCCTTGAACTCACAGAGATCTGCCTGCCTCTGCCTTCCGAGTACTGGGATTAAAGGCGTGTGCTACCGCTGCCCCTCTGATTTATCATTTTTTAAAGATTTATTTAATTTTTAATTATATGTATTTGAGTACAGGTGCCCTTGGAGGCCATAAAGGGGCCTTGGAGCCTGTAAAACTGGAGTCCTGGGAACAGAACTCTGGTCCTATGGAAGAGCAGCAATGCTTCCAACCACTGAAACATCTCTCCCGCTCCCGATTTATTTTATTTCACTTTTATTTAAAGTGATTTACTTCTGTGTATGAGTGCTCTATTTGCATGTGTGCCTGCAGGACAGAAGATGATGTCAGATCCTGTTACAGAAGCTTGTGAGCCACTACGTGGTTGCTGGGAATTGAACTCGTGACCTCTGGAGGAGCAGCCAGTGCTCTCAACCACTGAGCCACCTCTCCAGTCCAATGTACTTTAAGAGCATGTACTGCCTGTGAGCACAGGTGCCAGCAGAGGTCAGAAGAGGGCGGCGGATCCCCGGGAGCTACAGCTGGTGGGTTGTGAGCCGCCCGACCTGCGTCCTGGGAACTGAAGTCAGGTTCTCTGCACATGCCTTCTGTGCAGTTCTCCACTGAGCCATCGCTCCACGCCATTAGTATTCTTCCCTCCCTGGAGCACTGTCTTGGGAGTCCTGGGAATTCAAGTCCAGGTCCAATTCTAAGCAACGGAGAATCTCCCAGGAGCCACATTCCCTCCCTCAGCCTGTTTTCTCTCTGTCACAGGATCGTTTGTGGCCACTCCCATGTTGTCCCCCGAAACCTGTTACAGCCCCTGTTGTATCTTGCCATCCTTGCCGGGTGATGGCGACCACAGTGCCGTTCTGAACACCCTAGCGCTACACACCTGCCTTCATTCGCTGCATTATCCCAACGCCATCACCTAATGCGGCTGGCTTCAGAACAGGACAAACCCAGGTGACACAGCTGGGACCTACAGGGTGCTGCTTGTAACCATGGCAGAATGAGGGCGGTCCCAGAGAGCCCCTGGACAAGAGAGAGGGACAAGACAGAGAGAGATGGAGAAGTCCAGTCCATCTTCCTGGGACTCCAGCTCCCTTCCGGGGGCCGCGGTCGGGCAGGGTGTGCTGGGATGCATCTTCACCCAAGGAGCTCTGCACCCCCGGGGGTTAAATGTTACTGAGGTCACCTCACCAGAAGGACCGCTACCAGGTAACTGTTACGCGAGGCGTAGACTTTCTGTCTTCCTGGGTCTGCAAACCGCCCTCCCGACCCGGCCACCAGCACAAAGCAGAACACTCTTGAGAGCTGAACTGGCAGCGTCATGGCCAGTCTTTAGGGGGAAGCCCCATGGGTACCACATTCCTGGAACGCACACCCTGTCTGCATCCTCATCCTACAGGGGACACTGAGGCCTTTGGCATTGCTTCAGCAATTCCATTTTCCTGTCTGGTCAACAGGGATAGTATACTTTCCCCACATGGCTGGGCAGCTGAGCCGTATGCATTGACGTATGAAGGTAAACCGTATGTAATTAGTGTATTTTCCCAGGTGTGGAGTTTCACACCTGTAATCTCAACACTTGGGAGGCAGAGGCAGGTGGATTCCAACTTGGAGAGCACCCTGAGCAACACAGCTAGTTCCAGGCTAGTCTGGGCTCTATGCCTCCAGACTTGCTGCAAGACTACCCATTCCCCAAACTTCTGCCTCCCAAAATAAAAATGTCATGCATAGTGGCCCGTGCCTTTAATCCCAGCACTGGCAAGTAAGAGCAGAAGGACTGAGATTTCAAAGGTCTCTTGGCTCCACAGTGAGTCAGAAGCTAGTCAGGGCTACATGAGACCCTGTCTCAAGCCAACCCTAAAAAGTGAAATAAATTTCATTTCTTAAAAACAACAACAGCCGGGGGTGGTGGCACACACCTGCAATCCCAGCACTCAGGGAGGCAGAGGCAGGTGGATCTCTATGAGTTTGAGGCCAGTCTGGTTTACAAAGTGAATCCCGAACAGCCAAGGCTACACGGTGAGACCCTGTCTGGAAAAAAAACAACAACAACAAAAACCAAACCAAACCAACCAACCAACCAACCAAACCAACAAAAAAAAAAATACCTCAAAACAAAACAACCGATCTTCAGGAGGGCATGGTGTTGAGTAACTTTTATTTTTCAAGACAAGGGGTATGTGTGTAGCAGCCCTGGCTGTCCCTGTAAACCAGCTCCGTAGGCCAGGCTGGCCTCAGACTCACAGAGATCCACCTGCCTCTGCCTCGTGAGTGCTGGGATTAAAGGTGTGCGCCACCACTGCCCTGCATGGTGGTGAGTATCTTTAACCCCAGCATTGAGAACCTGAGGAAGCAGAGGCAAGAAGAGTTCTGTGAGTTCAAGCCCAGCCTGGGCTACACAGCAAGACTCTATCTCCAAAAGGAAAAGAGAAACAAAACAAAACAAAAAAACCCAAAAACTTTAGGGGCTGGAGAGATGGCTCAGCAGTTTAAGAGTAGCTCTTACTGTTTCAGAGGAGCAGAGTTCAGTTCCTACCACCCATATCAGGTGGCTCACAACTGCCTTCATTCCGGCTCCAGGGAACATCAGGTGATGCCTCTGACCTTCAAGGTCACGGACACTCACACGCTCACACACACATACTTACTTTAAAATAATAACCACAAACCTTTGAAAAAGGCTCCATTTACTTGTTTATTCACTGCACATCCAAGGGGAAGGTACAGAGACAGTGCAGAAGAGCAGGTGAGTGCGGGCAGAGCCCGGGTGGACGGGCAGTGGTAGGGGCGTGTCTTCCTCTTTGCCCTCTGGCTGCCACCTTGGCAGAGCGGCTAGAGGCCTTGGTGTCCCCACCTGGGAGAACAGCTTGCTCTTGCAGCACCATGTGCCTTAAATGAGTGACTGCACAGGGGACCCGGGACAAGCTTCCTGCTGAGCGCTGGGCCACGGAGTGTGAGCCTTTGATGGGAAATTGGTGACTTTCATGTCCTCGCAAACTTCCTGCTCTTTTCACTGGCCCATCACGGTTACAAATGGTTCTGTCAAACAAGCTACCACCTCCCTGGGCTCCTCCACTTACGCCATCCCTTGCAGAATGCTCAGAACGTGGCTGAATGAAGCTGACTTACCCATCCCCAGAACATGGCTCTTCTCTGGGTGAGGCGAGTGCTGGGGTACTCTGAAACCTTGACCTTTCACCTCCAGTCCCTTCCAAGGAGCCCTTATGTTTTCTGTACCCCACAACACATCAAAGCTGGGCCGCTCTGATCCAGGCTACATGGGAGGCACAATGGAACAGGGAGATAGCAAAGGAAGGGGTCTCGGGTCAGGCTGGCATTGCCACGTCCATGCTGGGTGATGCTGGGCATGCTGCAGGCCTCTCTGAGCCTTAGTGAGGTCAATCAGGAGGCTTCCTAGGAACTCAGAGGGGATGCAGCCCTCTCCCTGTCCTTGCTTTCAAGGGGTTGCGATTGTCCTATTCCTGCTGAAGGCTCAGGCAAGACACTTAGGTCTACAGCTGAGCAGCCACGACAGGGGCCCACAAAGCGCCTCCAGGCTGACCTGAGCCTGGGAAGGGTGCCGTTGGGAGGGGTCTTCTCCAGGAGAAGGAACCTTTGCCTGTTCCCGTAAGGGGGCGGTGGGTGGATGTCTTCCCAGCCATCTGGCCCAGCTCTGTGAGGACTTGGTTCCCCAGCCGTTTCCAGGTAGGTAGAGCCGAGTTGCTGGTCCAAACATCCACATCCTCTTCCTTGTCTGGAGCCTGGAGGATCTAAAATTGTTTTGGCTCTGCCTAGTGGGGTAAACAAACACTGGCTTCCCTCGCCCTGTGTACCTGACAGGCCCAAGGCAGCAGGGTGGGCTCCTGTGGGTAGCCTGGACGCTCTCTCTAAGACTCACAGCTCTGGGGCCAGGGCCTCACAGAGGACTAGTCCTCCAGTAGGAGTAGGGCCCGATATGAGGACAAGGCAGTCCCAGTTCTGAGGGCCTAGGATCCTCCCCTCCGTGGACTGTTTTCCTAAGCCTGGATCCTGGGCTTGGAGGCTGCTGTGCGCACCCTGTATTACTACAAAGGCTGACATTTGCATAGTGCTCCTCGAACCTGTGAAGCTGTTCAAACCCGGGCGGAGTGGGGTGGGGGTGGGGTTACTACTTCCCCACTGACACAGCTGCCCGTGAGTCAATCGAGGCTCAGAAAGGTTAAGTGATTTTCCCGAGGCCACCCAGCTACGTGCAGTCGGTCTTTCTCTGGGTTCTGACTTTTTGGCCTCTCCGGCCTGTAAAATGAATATACCGTGACGGCGTTCTCTCCCCATCTGGCAGCTCTGAGGCTAAGCAGGCCAGCCAGGAGGCCTGACCCGCCTACCATAGGTCTCTTCCCCAGTGAGGCAGGGGATGACTGCCCCACACAGCGGGGCAGCTCACAGGTGTGGCTGTCACATGGCCTAGGGCTGGAGCGCAAGGCCACCTGAGGCAGGAAGAAAAGCAAGCTCGTAAGGGATCGTAACTGATGGAGACACAGGGATGGACCCTGGGGAGGAGCCACCTCTTTCCTTGGCATCTGCTAGCTCTAGCCAAGCCCTGGGCAAGCACAGCCAGGTGTACAAGATGTGCTGGTCAGGTTTGTTGTTGTTTTTTTTTTTTTTGGGGGGGGTTACCTGGGAAGAGGAACCCCAATCTAACCTTCAACAGATTGGCCTGTGGTGGCAGATTCTTGGTTAACGTTCAGTGTGGGAGGGCCCAGCCTACTCTGGGTGGTGCTACCCTAGAGCAGATGGGCCTGGGTTGTATAACAAAGCAGAACGAACAAGACACAGGGGAGCAAGCCAGTAAGCAGCATGCTTCCCGTTCCTGCCTCAGGTTCCCGCCTTGACTTCCCTTCTTTGACGGGCTGTGATCGGGAAGTCTAAGCCAAATAAAGTCTTTCCTTTCCATATTGCTTTTGGTCACAGTGCTTCGTCACAGCAACAGAAACCAAACGTAGGCCGATGGTTTCAACGGAGGAGGGCCGAGACTGCTATACACAGCCAGACAAGTCCCCTTCTTGGGCAAACCTACCCCAGCATGTACTAGCACAGCCACTCAGCTGTTACGGGGCAGAGTGTGGGGGCGAGGTCCCCACTCCAAGGCCACATCCCATTTCTCCACCGACCTGACAGGAGAATTGGATTCCTTCCTGTTCCCAATGCAGAATTCAGGCCTGGCCTTCCCAGGTCTGAGACGTCCAGACCCACTGTGACAATGGAAGGTCAGGATACACCCCAGAGGCCCTGTGCTTGGGTTTTATATCACATCACCTTTCAGGAAGGGTCTGACCTTTCTGCACAAGCTGGCCAGCGTTGAGAGGAAGAAACAGGCACGATGCCTGCTCATTTATTTACTGTCCCAGCAAATACTTACCAAGCAATTACTGCATGCTGGGAGCCAAATCTTGCTTTCACTCTCAACGCGGTTTAGTGCTGATCCAAGAGCAATGTCAAGACAGCGCTGTGGGGGTGCTCCAGGACAGCCTGAAGCGGGTACCCGGCCTGACAGGCTTCCCGGAAGACTGCACCGTTCCTGGTGGAAGGGAGGAGAGGGGAGGCTCCCTTGCAAGCAGGTGCAAGAGAGGATCTCCCAGAATGCACCTCAGCACCTGCAGTCCGAGAGGCCTCTCTCGCCCCCATCCCGTCAGGACATCAGATCTCCTGGAGCTGGGGTGATGCTTTTATGAGCTGTCCACTGTGGGTACCGGGAACTGAACTTGGTGAACCATCTCTTCAGTGGGCGTGCGGGCGCACATGGGCACACATATGTCAGGTTATTTTGTTTGTTCGGGGTTTTTTTTGAGACAGGGTTTCTATGTGTAGCCTTGGCTGTCCTGGGACTCGCTTTGTAGACCAGGCTGGCCTCAAACTCACGGCGCATCTGCCTGCCTCTGCCTCTCTGAGCACTGGGATTAAAGGTGCGTGCCACTAGGCAGGCCTGGCTCTCATTCCATTTCTTAAGTGCTTTACAGGTGCTCAAGGCCGCTCCTTTGAACAGCCCTGCCCAACCCTCACATCTATGTGCTCCTCCAGGTTGTGCTATAGAAGATGAACTTTCGAGAACACCATCTTTCAGGAGACAGAGAACCTAGATGTGTACTCGTGGATGACACAGAAACACTGTGCAAAAAGTGCCCTTATTGGGGGCTAGAGAGGCCACTGGCTAAGAGAAGCAGCTGCTCTTCCAGAGGACTGGGGCTCAATTCCCAGCACCAACATGGTGGCTCACAACCAGCTGCAACTTCAGTCCCAGTGGATCTGACGCCCTCTTCTGGCTTCTATGGGCACTGCATGTCCACGATGCACAGACACACAGACACACAGACAGACAGACAAAACACCTATACACATAAATAAATAAATAAATAATAAGGTGCCATTACTGTCATCGTCCCCATCACCTACAGATAATACCATAGAATGGTGGACTAAGCATGTGGGCTCTGTAGCTAGACCCCCGGAGCCCAGGTCAAGGCCCCACTACTTACTGGAACTGTGTGACCTGGTCCAAGCTGCTCAGTCCCTCTGTGCTGCGGCCTCCACGATGTTAACACAGGACTAACACACCTTACAGAAGCACTGACGAGGGTGCCGAGGGTCGGCTCAATGACAGTGCCGTCACCGTGCTCACAGATGAGAACACTGGCCTTGTGAGACGGAGGCCAAGCTTCCGCAGCTGTCTGGAGGAAGACCTTTGCAATCTCTAAGCCTTTCGAGATAGGAGCTAGTGTGTCAGATTATCTCCACACGATCACACTTGCCATCTTGTCTCCCTGGATGGTGCTCCTCTGGAGGAGTATCTTTTTGTGAGCTTCCCGCCAGCTCTGTGAGGAGGGCAAACCCCTTTCACTACAGCGAAACCAACTGTATGCATCAATAAAAAAATACAGAAACAAAGTCCACGTGCACGTGTGTGTCGGGTGTGCAAAATGTGCTCAGGTGTACAGGTGACTGGAGAGCCTCAGATATCACCCTTGGAAACCCTGCCCAGCTCCTCTGAAATGAAACAAAGTCTCTCATTGGACGGAAGCTCAGGGATTGGTCTAGACTGGCTGGCAAGCAAGCCCTCAGTGTCCACCTCCCCGACACGGGGATGCCAGTGTGTACCACTATGCCTGGCTGTTGAGATGAGTTCTGGGGATTGCACTCAGGTCCTCATGTCAGAGTTTTGCCAGCTGACCCATCTCCCCAGACCCTCAAACCAACCTATGAACCCATCGTCGCGAAGATGGCAAATGTGGCCAACCCCTTATGATTTCCCCACGCTCCTCTGCAATCCTCTTTTCCTCCAATTGTGTCTGCTAGTTACAGAAGAGGAAATTAAGGTACCACCGGAGAGCTTTAATAACCTTCCCGGAAGTCACCTGCCCCAGGCTACCTTCCGTCAGTGGGCCGCTCTGCTAGCTGGTTATCTGGTAAAGTGGGTATCTGGAGCCATATGCAGAGAGGCCTGGGAGGTTCTCCCTCTTTCAGCAACCCCTGCCCAGGGCCACAAGAGGCAGTAGCACCACCCGGCCTGTGTGGGGTTGCAGGCTGACATGGGGACCAAGGACAGGCCGCAGAAGTGGAGGAGGCCAAGGTGCCCTGAAGGCAGGAGGCAATGCAGCAAGCCTGCCGGTTTTGTGGTGGGTGCTGGGCCAGCGAGCTGTGTGTGACTGTGTCACTGTGACAGTGTGATTGCTGAAGGCAGGGACACAGCAGCTCCCTGAGCCGGGGGTGGAAGGCGTTAACTGTGAGAGTGCCGGTGTGCGTGGGCAGCCTCTGGGCCTGGTGCTGGGGGGCACAGGGAGGTAGTAAACACCCTGGCGATGGCAGCCTCCTGAAGACGCTGCAGGGCGTGGAGGTGGGGGTGGGGGGTGCGGGGGGGGGTTTGCGCGGTTGTGTGACTTTGCAGTTCAACAAATTCAGATTCAGCCCATGCTGGCATGGCAGCGCTTGCTGTGTGCCAGGCAACAGGCAAGGAGAGGCAGACTCAGCTTGTAGCTGAAGGGCTCCCACTGTGGATCTAGAGCCCCAGCCTTGGGGCTGCATGCTTTCTGATCAGTGTGACATTTATCCACACACTACTCCGGCCCCCACTTAGAAAAGAGACGGTGAAGCACAGAGGGAAAGTGACTAGTCCAAGGTGACCCAGCTACTCCATTAGACAGGAACTGAGTCTAAGCCGCCAGGCTGCAGAGCCCCAGTCCTTCACCATCATGCCTTTGCCAGGCTGCAGATGTCCGGTTCGGGGGTTCAGGGGCCACACTCCTGGTCTCGGTCCTGGCCCTGCAGACATGGCTCTAAACCCAGGTCACTGTGCCAAGGGGTGGGGCACAGTTCGCCTCCAGTTCTTGCCAAGGGGCTAGAGTCACAGCTAGAGGGGCTGCCCGGTTCTCAGAGACCCCTTAAGCTGCAGCCCTCGCCCGAGGACCTCCCTTGGCTCCTGCCCCCTCCTGGCGCTGACTCGGGGCCAGGAGAGGAAAGGCTGTCTCCCTGTCTCCACCCACCTCCTGCACTCTCCCTTCTCCTTTATAAAGGCCGGAACAGCTGAAGGGTGGCAACTTCGGCAGCCGGGAGCAGCCTGCCCGCCTCCCCCGCTGCCTCCCCGAGGGCTCCCCTCCGGCCGACAGCGCCCATCTTTCTTTCTCCAGAGAGATATTTTGCGCACACACACATACACACACGCGCAAAAGGGAAAGGAGAGAGAGAGAGAGAGAGGGAGAGAAATCCCACCCTCTAGCCTCGTTGCAACGAGAAAGCCGGAGCAGACGCAGCTCGAAGCCCGCAGAGGACGCCCAGAGCGGGGAGCGGGTGGGTGGATAGAGCGTCTGACCCGCGCCGCGTCCACCTGTCGGGCCGGCCCGGCCCAGAGCGCAGTGGGCGCGCCGCGCGCTCAGAGCAGCCGTGCCCGCCGCTCGGGCCCCGCGCCAGGGCGCACACGCTCCCGCCCCGCCACCCGGCCCGGGCGGGAGTTTGCACCTCTCCCTGCCCGGGTGTTCGGGCCGCTGCTGCAAAGCCAACTTTGGAAAAAGTTTTTTTGGGGAGACTTGGGCTTGGAGGTGCCCAGCCCTGCGCTTTCTGATCCGGGGGGCCTTTCCCGAAAATGTTGCAAAAAAGCTAAGCCAGCGGGCAGAGGAACACGCCTTTAGCCGGCGAGTGAAGACGAGCCATCGACTGCCGCGTTCCTTCTCCTCCCGGAGGTTGGAGTCCCCTGCGCGCCCCCACACGGCTAGACGCCTTGGCTGGTTCGCGACGCAGCCCCCAGGCCGTGGATGCTCGCGTGGGCTCGGGATCCGCCCAGGTAGCGGCCTCGGACCCTGGTCCCGTGTCCAGGTCCTCCCCAGCCCCCCAGCGACGGAGCCGGGGCCGGGGGCGGCGGCGCCCGGGGGCCATGCGGGTGAGCCGTGGCGGCGGCTGCAGCGGCCTGAGCGCCTGATCTCGGCGGACCCGAGCGGAGCCCACCCTCCTCCCCAGCCCCCCACCCTGGCCGCGGGGGCGGCGCACTCCGTCTACGCGTCCGGGGCCCCGCGGGGCCGGGCCGGGAGTCGGCATGAATCGCTGCTGGGCGCTTTTCCTGCCTCTCTGCTGCTACCTGCGTCTGGTCAGCGCCGAGGTGAGTCGCGACGGCGGCGGCGGAGGCTGGATCCTTCCCCCGTGGCCCCAGCCCCCACGCCTGGCCGCCCCCTCCTCCCCCTGCAGTGAACTTTGGAGCCCTGCAGCGCGTGAGCCAGGCCCTAGGCACTGGGTGGCCCCAAGGATTGGGAGGCCAGGTCCGGGGTGCTGGGCTCCATGGGGAGGAGGCAGGGGGTGGGTTTCTCTCTCCAGTGGACCGACCTAGCTCCCTAAACCTTTCCGCGTCCTGGGAAAGGTGTGTGCTGCCCTGCCCCCTGCCTGAGGCTTGAGCCAGCGCTCTTAAGCCCCTTCCAGGTCAAGGGAGAGAGTGTGAGGTGGTAGCTAGGGTGCTTAAGGATCGAGACCTCCTAAGTCCACCTCGGAACCAGGATGGGCTTTGGTTCTGCCCAGGACCCTGCTTGCCCTAGAAGTGTGTGCCCTCGAACTCAGGATATCCAGAGACCTTTGGAGAGGGTTCTGGTCCCACCCTAGGGTCTGCTGTGGCCTGGGCACCTTGGGGTCGTGCCGGACGGTCCAAAAGCACATTGTATCTTGGCGCAGGGGACCCAGAGAGAGAGAGAGACAGAGACAGAAACAGAAACAGGCACGCTAGAGAGACTGGTAGGCAGACAGACACACGGGTAGGTTCAGACGCTTGGAGTAGAGAGACAGGACTGGAGGTTGGGGGCGGAACGGGGAGGGGGGGGCGCTTGGAAGAATCCAAGCCCGGGGGCGGTGTGTGTCTGAGGCCCGGCCATTACCTGCGCCCGCGCCCTGCGAGAGGAAGTAGCCCTCTCTCCCGCGCGAGCGCGGGGTGCGGAGCGCGCGCCTGCAGGAGCCTAGCTGCAAGGGCGGCGGGGTACGGGGACGTCTGCGGGAACGCTCAGGTCGGCCCGGCGCTCCCACCCCTCCCAGCCTCACGTAGCAGTGAGTTGGCAAGTCTACCGGGAATCCAGGTGGGAAGGGGGCGGGGCGGGAGGAGGCGCCAGCCGGGAGCCGGCCGAGGGCCGGGAGGGCGCCCTGCCCCCGGGTCCCCGTCCCGCCTCCGCCCGCCGAGGGCCGGAGCCCGCACCGAGTCGACCCCGCGGGCCGGGCCAGCGCGCTCGCCCGCAGCCCGGCGCAGGGGGTGGGGGTGGGGAGAGGCGGCGGCAGGGAAGGGGTTAAGACGGAGGGCTCGAGGCCGCGGCCCGACCTTGGGCCGCCGCCAGCTCAGGTTGTTTTGACCACGGAGGAGCCGTCGCCGTCTCCTTTTGTTCTCGGGGCTCCTGGAGGGCCTGCAGGCCGCTTGCCCTGGGGGCCCCGCCCTTCCGCGGCCGCCCCCCGCGCCCGGAGCCCGAGAGGGAGCGAGCCGGGCTCGGCCTGGCCGCGGCGGGGGCCCCCTCTCCGCTTCGCCTACAGCCCCCCGGGGCCGCGGCCAGCTGTTGGGAAGGGGTGGGGGGCGCCCGGAGGCCCCCGGCTGCCGCCTCTCCTCGCCGCGCCTCGGGGACCTGGAGGCTGGCCCGGTGCCACGGCGTCCTGGGGACGGCGGCACCCCGCGGCTGCTCTCTGCAGCCCACCCCGCCCGGCCCCCGACTCGCTCACTCACCCCACGCATGCACACTCCTGGCCGGAGGCGATGCTGCGCTCCCGCGGGCGGGCGGGCGGGCGCGCAGAGCGACGGGCACGCACTGAGCCGGCCGGGTCGCGCGCCCGTCCGCCCGCCACGCCCGTGCACACGCGGGGGGGACACGCGCGCACGCGGCCCGAGGACACGTGCGCTCACACACCCACGCACGCACGCGGGCACGCACGGCCCCTCTGTACGCTGGGTACCAGGTGCCCGCCCCCACGCAACAGGTGGGCCCTGCAACCTAACCGCCTCTGTACCTGCAGAATTTCCTTCCTGGGGGCTCAGAGAAGGGCGGGACGACCCCAGAGCCTGAACCGGACTCCGCAGCACCCATTTTTGGCCTGGTTAGGGTAGCTTGGCGCCCCTTAAACTTTACCCGTCAGTAACGGTTTTCCAACCACCCCGGCGGGGTCGACGATGATGCCGAAGTGACCCCAGTGTGCAGGCGTTTTTCCTTCCCAATAAGCACCTATTTGACCTTCAAGACGGGGGCGCTGCCTACCTGACGCGCGGGTGTCCTCAGTGCCCGCCCCTGCCTTGGCTAACCCTGGCAGGGGTGGGAAGCCCTGCGTTCTGACGGGCACTGCTGGATATATAACATCTGGGTGAGGCTTCCAGGGCCTTCTACCATCCCGGCGTCCTCCAGCACCACCCCACCCCACCACTCCCAGGAGTTATTTGCTTTTTGGTTTGGTTTGAAACCGAGCCTTGCTCCTCCATAGACTGACTACCTCCGGGATCCCAGCTTTCAGTATTAGACTGAAAGCATGAGGCATGTCCCCATGGGGACCGGCCCAGGCAAGCTCCAGATAACCAGTACAGGGCGGGTGGGGTTGAGGGGGACCAGGTTGTGTGTTGATGGTGGGGTTGGCGTTGTGTGTCCATGGAAGCACGCTGGTAGCTCGAACACGCTGCTCAGGCCCCATCTCCGTCTCCATCAGCTGAGCTGGCTTCCCAGAAAGTGACTGTCATGTGACTATCTGTCTGCTTTAGCACCCTTATGCCGGGAAGGAGTGGAGGGCCCCACAGCCACCAACCACCCAGTCTCCTTCTGGCTTGCTAATGGCCACGGGGGTGGAGGGGGGGAACCCACTTGCTGGAATCACCCTGCCTGGAAGTGTGAAAGTCAAGGTCACATAGATTTTTGGAGGCCCCCAGGGCAAGAGTCAGGAAGTAGTGTGTGGAGGAATAGACCTCGAGGTGTTTGCTTGGGGTTCAGGAGACCCTCCCTCTCTTTGATACTCTTTTTGTGGCATGTTTTCTTTCGGTTTTTAGAATTTGAGACAGGGTCTTAGGTAGTCCAGGGTGACCTGTCCCTCGGTGTGTATAGTATATGGGAATGGGTTTGAACCCTTGCTCTTCCTGTCATCATTCCTGGAGTTGAGGTGTGCACTACCGTGGCTGACTATGACAACTTCTCAAGTTTCGGTTTATTCCGATGTCTGTTACCTGCTTTTTTCCATGATCCGCAAACTTTTCGTCTTGGTTCCCGCTGTGTTGGTGGGGTGCTTGTAGCCTGAACAAATCACCAAATAATTACGAAAGAACTGTGAATGGGGGAGTGGGCCCAGATTTATTTATTTAGGTTTTTCCTGTCCTGGAACTTGCTCCATAGACCAGGCTGGTCTTGAACTCTCGGAGATCTGCCTGCCTCTGACTCCCAAGCGCTGGGATTAAAAGGCGTGCACCACAGCGGCCAGCTCTTGGGTGCTTTATTAACATAGCCTGGGTGAACCCCTGGCCCCTGAGGGCAGCCACCCACAGCACAAAGCCTCTGTAGCATCTGGCTTGTAAACCCACCTCTCCCGGTAGGGTGAGAGATTAGATTATACTCTTCTTTGTTTTGGGACCTAGACCGTCAGCAGGGAGGAAGGTGGAAAGACACCCAGCAAGCAGGCTGGGCCTCAGTTTCTCCTACCTAAAACACTGAGTAGAATGGACTCAGGCAATGCTTTGAATAATAGGGGAGGTGGCTCCTCTTGAGTTGAGATGGGGACAGTGATTGCGATGGGCCACCAGGGTGGCACATCTGGGGGACAGGTCCTTTTCTTCCAGCCTTGACACTTCTGCTGGGCTGGGCAGCAGGGCGAGTGGGGGGGGGAACAGGGGAGTCCTCCCGGGAACCAGGAAGGGAACCACCGGGTAGAAAAGCTGGCTCCTCAGGCCTCCACATTGTGCCCAGAGAGCGCTTCTTCAAAGAGCTTGTCTTTGCCATCTCATCTAAATAAGGCAGGCAAGGCCCTAGGAGGCCTCATCAGCTTCTGCCTCTGCCAGCCACAGACAACGCCCTGGGTGCTGGGCGGAGAGCCCATCTCCCTCATTGCAGTGGCAGCCGGCTGTGGAGTATGTATCTCTGCCTGTGTGTGCACACGTGTGTGCGTGCGTGTGTGTGTGTGTGTGTGTGTGTGTGTGTGTGTGTGTGTGGTGTGTTGGGGCCCAGGTGGAGGGTGGGGTTCAAGCCCTTTTGATCTGCTAGCCTCGCTGAGAGCAGGTAGCTCACCTGGCCTCGAGCTTGCCTTGTGCCTCCTGCAGCTGGCTTTGGGGGCAGGGCAGGGGAGGAGGCTGTTTCTCTCGGCTGCCAGGCTGGCTCGGCCCCAACTGCTTCCACCACGCCACACCCTTGCCCTCCCAGGAGCCCCAGGCCTGAGATCTGGGGCAGCTTCTTCAGGCTGTCAGGCGTCCTTTCCTCTGGGTGGGGGTAACCTGTGGGGGCCCACCTGGAGGCCTCCAGAATCTGTGGTGGAAAAATCAGGCTTGAGCAGCTTCCTATGTCGGGCGGGGGTAGGAGTGTGGGGGGGGGCGTCACAGACAGACACATGGACTCTGTCTGCAAACAGGTGCTTCAGAGAGTCTCCCCAGAGCAGTGCATCCTGCAGTGGACCTCAGGCTAGATGTTCACACCCCCGGACCCGGAAGAGACCCGTCAGCCCACGGGGCACCTGGTGATGTCGGTGTGGGGCTAGGTGCCATTTCCTGTGGCCCAGCGTGGGGGCTAGTGCAAATTCACACCCTGTCCCAGGGGACAGCAGCTCTCCACCCACCCGTCACCATCCTTGGAAATGTTGTGAGTCAGGACGTGTGTGTCATTTGCTGTCTTTGTAGAAAGAATTGGTGATGGTGGCAGTGACAGCTTGTTGAATGCCCTTCATTTGGGGCTGCTCTACTGTGTAGTTACACTTATTGGGAACCCTGTGGTAGCTGTGGTCAACCCCACTTAAAGGACGAAGAAGACACCCTTGGTTCCTTTTGTGGCGGTACCGGGGACTGAAGCCAGGACCTCACTAATGCCAGGCGGCAGTTCTGCCACCGAGCTACACGCTCAGGTCCCTTTCTTTTCTTTTGTTTTTATTTCGTGCCGGGGTATTGCTGAGTTTCCCAGGCTGGCCTTGACCTTGGCGATCCTTCTGTCTCAGCCTCCCGAGGAGCTGGGATGATAGGCCCATGCTGTTCTGTCCAGCTTCGAAAGTAAGGTTGTAACGGTGAGATTTATTCCAAGCACCCTAGTTCCCCTCACGTGGGGAGCCCTGGCTTTCTCCTGTTGTGCTCTTCTCACCTCCGACCTTGGAGGTGTTGGGGGCCAGGAATGCCGTATCCTGTGTGGCATCCTGTACATCAGCCCTGTATCCTGTGACTAACATTCCTGCCTCTACCCTCCGAGGCCAGCAGCCTGTCTCTAGCCTCAACCACCACAGACACCGTGTCAGTGTCCCGTGGGGGTGCCATCGCTGTAACTGAGGCCATTGCAGTGAGATGAGATGGGGACAGAGAGCCAGGAGGCGTCTGGAACGGGACCAGTGGCATCAGTGCAGAGTGGAGCCCTGCTTGAGCTGTTGCTGGTGGGCCAGGAGAGGGTAGGCATGCTGTGCCCTGGGAGGGATCCACCTCTGCCACTGGCAGGTCACCTAGATCTGTGGCTGTGAATTCATCTCCTTCTTAAGTGTCAGTTTTCCTGTCTGGAAGATGGGGCTAATGACAGTGTCGGCCTCAGGGCTGTGCTTGGTGCAGAATTCTGTGCCGTTGGTGCCTGGCATGAGGGATCACACCTGAGGGGCCCTCACAGAGAAAGGGACGGTCTTTCACGTATTTTTATCAGTATTTATTGAGCACCAGCTGAGCGCTTTTCCTACCTCCACAGTCTGCATCTGGGGTCCTTCCCCACTCAACCTCAGGGGTAAGATTGTTTCTGTGTGATGGGCTCCGTTACTTTGTGGCTTAGGCTTGGGGTGTGTGCCAGGTTTGTCCAGGGCTCAGCCTGCTTTGCCTCAGTGGCAGCTCCCGCCATCCTACTGCAGACATTTCTTACTCCCTTGGGCAAGCAGGCCACCTTACGAATCCTGGCTGTGGCTACCCTCTGCTCCATCAACCCCTTCCCCACCCCCAGGAAGAATTAGAATGGAATCAAACGTTTCATAACCTCCTTGAAGAGCCAAGACCAGAGACAGGCAGTGACCAGCTATCGGCCACACAGCCGACGTTAGCAGTGTGAGGCCCGGAACCTAAATCTCTTGAATACCAGTTCTGAATTTGATAAAACTCAGGGCAGTGGCCTTCTCTAGACTTGCTTCAGACCAGCGTCTAGACACTGTCCTGCACATCTCTGCCCAAGCGTGACACCGTTGACGCCAGAGGCCACCAAGCCCTCACCCCCACCAGCCTCTCCTTCTAACCTCTAACATCCCTGGGATACCAGGCAGGTTTACAAACTCCATGACTGAACAAAGTGACCCAGATGCTAAATGAATGAGGTTGCAGGAGCCAGATTTCAAAGTGTCACGCCTGCCCGCTCCCCCGCCCCCGTCTCTCTAGTTCCTATGTCGACTTTGAGGACCAGAGGGCATGACTGGACCCCTGAAGAGCTTTTCCTAAACATCACCACAAATGTCAAGGACCACAGAGGTTTTTTTTGTTTTTGTTTTGTTTTGGGTGACACCGGTCTCTCTCTTAATGTTGCCCAGGCTAGCCTGGAATTCCTGGGCTCAAAAGATCTTCCTTGCTGCTATGCATGGTGGCACACCTGTTTAATCTCAGCACTCAGGAGCAGAGGCAGCCATCTAGGGCAACCTAAGACCATGTCTCAAAAGAGCCGAACTGAACTGTCTTAGATTTTCTGTTGCTGAGATAAACAACCATGGCCAAAGGCAACTTGGAAAGGTTCTATTTCAGCTTGCACACCACAGTCCATCACTGCGGGAAGTTAGAGCAGGGACCCGGAAGCAGGAACGGAAGGAGGGCCATGGAGGAGGACCACTCACTGTCTCGCTCCTCACGGTTTGACAACCTTCTTCCTTATACCACCCAGGGCTACTGGGCCCTCTGTCAGTCAATCAAAATATATCCCAGGCGTGCCCACAGACCAATCTGATGGGTGCATTTTCTCAACTGAGACTCCCTCATCACAGTTGACTCTAGCTTGTTTCAGGTTGACATAAAACTAGCCAGCACACAAAAAGATCTGCCTGCGTCAGCCTCCAGAGTAGCTTGGGACCACAAGTGGGTCCCTAGGCACCATGCATCTGGCTCTGATACACATAGCTTTTGAGGAGAATACACACACACACACACACACACACACACACACACACACACACACACA